GTTTTGTATTCTTACAAATTCATAATCTACAGGATCAGTTGTTCATAGTTACATAAAATTATAATTCTATGTATTAGATGTAAGTATACACGGGGAACATTAGGATGTTTTGTATTCTTACAAATTCATAATCTACAGGATCAGTTGTTCATAGTTACATAAAATTATAATCCTATGTATTAGATGTAAGTATACACGGGGAACATTAGGATGTTTTGTATTCTTACAAATTCATCAGTTGTTCATAGTTACATAAATGAACATAAAATTATAATCCTATGTATTAGATGTAAGTATATACGGGGAACATTAGGATGTTTTGTATTCTTACAAATTTATAATCTACAGGATCAGTTGTTCATAGTTACATAAAGTTATAATCCTATGTATTAGATGTAAGTATACACGGGGAACATTAGGATGTTTTGTATTCTTACAAATTTATAATCTACAGGATCAGTTGTTCATAGTTACATAAAGGAACATAAATAATGAAAAAAAACTCATGAAAACATTTTAAAGGTAATCATTTAGACAGCCAGTATGAATTACTGGATTAAGTTTATTTTTTGATTTCGTTATGAAGTCCCGAGAGAATTGAGAAATAAATGTATGGTTTGAAATATATTCTAATTGTATTATCATCTTTTTTTTTGCTGAGATGAATAAGTTCTAAAAATAAGTATACGTTTTACTTGTTTGCGTCACACTCTACGCATACTTTAAATCAAAGTCTTAGATTCATAGTGGAAAGTTGTTTCATAGCTTGCACCAATAATGTAGTAGCATTGGTGTGTTTACATCTTTGGATATAATATATCATTTTTTTACATACACAAAATGAGAATGGATATTTCAATCCCTCTTAGAAACCAAACAGTTGAATAATTACTAATAATACGTTAGAAGTTCCTAACTTTTATCATCGTTAAAAGCCGTAACACTTTATCATTTCCTAAAGCGTTGATATTATTAAGATATCATTTGTTAGGACGATCATTGAATAATCTGGAAAGACAGGAAATTTATTTTATATCTTGATAATCAAGGAGAGTGAAATGGCATCATAATAAAGTTTTAAAAATAACGTAATATCATGTATCTTCAAAATCAATTTGTTAACAGTCATGATTTTCATAATCAGATCATTAAAAGTCATGCAAAACAAATGATGAGGTTAATAAGAGTCACGGAAAATCAAAATCACATGATTAAAGATCATGTGAAATCAAGTAGCTATAAAATCATTTCATTGAAAGTGATAGAAAAGTAAGTGTCATCAAAATTAGGTCATTAAAAGTAATAGAAAAGCAAGTGTCATCAAAATTACGTCATTAAAAGTAATAGAAAAGCAAGTGTCATTAAAATTAGGTCATTAAAAGTAATAGAAAAGAAAGTGTCATCAAAATTAGTT